GTTATAGATGTGTATTGTTTTTGTTTTAGAAAATTTTTAATACATTCGTCAATATCTGTATAGGTTTCTAGCTCAGTGTGCCAATTCAATGTTGCTACGCTGTTTTGGAAGTTTATTAGTGGCTGCCTCATTGTGAAGTCTGAATGTGCTTTAAGTAGTGTCTTGGGGGAGTTTTACTACCAAGAGTTGTGTATGAGGAAATTAGGGTAGTGGTCTTGTGGTATTAATCTGAATTATCCTGATTTTTAAAAGGGGATATGGTGTTGGGCCAGATGTGGTCCAAGTAGGGAAACACTGTCCTCTGTAACTCTTGTAGGTTTTGTTACTGTTGGTAGTAACATACAGTTACTCATTTGTGTTTTGTGAATTCAGTAACTGTGGGGTCCGGTCTTGCAGGGAGATTTATCTTGAATCACCTGAGAGTAGTAAGTGATCTTTTTTCATGCGTGCATCAGTTATCATACTTCCTAGATTTTGACTAAATTGGCTAATGTTTGACTGTGGAACTCTGTAGATGTTTATCAATGTGAGAGGTTTTTGTAGGTACTTGGATTTGAATTTAGCTATTATATATTCCCCATGTTCATCCCTTGTGCAAGTATTAGTGATACATTGTAGTTGGTCTGAGTAGTATATGGCTGTGCCACCCCCTTGTTGGTCTGGCCTACAGTTGTGTATGGCTGTGTAACCAGGAATGGCATAGACATCTGTACTATCAGGCTTTAGCCAGGTTTCAGTTAGTGTAATGATGGACATATTGGCATGTAAGGAATTTAGTAATGCTATGAGGTCATCATAATGCTTGCTTAAAGATCTGATATTGTAGTTAAAGATAGTTATGTTGTTGTTGGCACTGAGAAGTGCCTTTGATTGTTCTGCAGTGTAGTAATTACAGTAACTGTTTGATTCATTTAAGTCATTAAATAAGAGGTTGGTATCAGGATCAATGCTTGTAATCATAAGATTTGTAGTGAATCTATAGTTTGAATTAAGTATGTATACAGAATAGTAAAATACTGTATACTGCTGTTAGACCAAATGACCAATACTCCTGATTTAGGTATATTGTGCCCCTCAGGGGAGGTTCCTTGATGCTAGTGAGGGGCTCTTGATCTAGGGAATTGGTTCTGTGCTCTGGTTCCCTGAAGTGAGCCTAAATACCTTCCATCCCCCCCTCACATGCGCTGTGTAATCCTACGAATTTAGCGCTCCCTCATGATTATAATTATAATTAGGTTATTTTTTTTATTAACACATTGGCCATTTCCCACCAAGGCACGGCGGCCCGAAAAAGAAAAGCTTTCATCATCATTCGCTCCATCACTGTCTTGCCAAAGGCATGCTTACAGTACAGTTATAAAACTGCAACTTTAACACCTCTCCTTCAGAGTGCCAGCACTGTACTTCCCATATCCAGGAATTAAGTCCGGCCTGCCAGTTTCCCTAAATCACAGCACGTCAAGTCCTAAAAACATTTGTCTCCGTTCACTCCTAACACGCTCACACACGCTTGCTGGAAGTCCAAGCCCCTCGCATACAAAACCTCCTTTACCCCCTCCCTTCAACCTTTCCTAGGCCGACCCCATCCCCGCCTTCCATCCACTACAGATTTATTCCCTTTTGAAGCCATTCTATTTCATTCCATCCTCTCTACATGTCCAAACCATCTTGATAACCCTTCCTCAGCCCTCTGGATAATAGTTTTGGTAATCCCACAATGAAAAGCAGGGGTGTCACTAGCACGTTAAGAGACCATACAATAAGTGTCAGGGGCCCGAGACTGTTCAACTGCCTCCACACACATAAGGGGACTACCAACAGACCCACTGGCGTCTTCAGCTTGCACTGGACAAGCATAAAGTCCAGTTCCTGATCAGCCTGGCTAGGCTCGTACGTGGTTTGCTGCGCCAGCACAACAGCCTGGTTGATCAGGCGCTGATCCACCAGGATCCTGGTCCACAGACCGTGCCGCGGGTGCGTTGACCCCCAAACCTCTTTCTCTCAGTAACTCCAGTCTCCAGGTCTCGCCTCCTATCTCCAAACTACGATTCCTCTGCTTATTCACACCACACATCGCCCTCAGACATTACTCTCACTGCTGCCACCTGTCCTTGTTGCACTTCCACACCATACCACACTTCCATTACAGAGTGTTGGTTACTGTACTCTCATACATTCCTCTCTTTGCTCTTCATTAGTTAAAATTCCTTCTCTCCACCAGACACTCAGTGCACCACTCACCTTTTTTCACTCGTCTGTTCTATGATTGCCTCATGCCCATAAACCCATCTGCTTGACAGGTCCACCACCGATACCTGAACTGCTCACCTCTCATGCTTTCTCCCTTCCAATCTGATTTTCCAATCTTTCCGTTACCCTAATTTTATTGTTATTCTCTACACCTTACTCTATCCTATATTTACTTTTAAATTTACCTTCTTTTTACATACCCTACAAACTCATCAACCAACTCTGCAACTTCTCTGCAAAATCTCCCAAAAGCACAGTGTCATAGCAAAGATCAAACCGTGACAATTACCACTTTATGTTAGATTACTTTATCTTTTAGCCCCACACCTCTTGCCAGCACCAATATTCACTTCTCTACAACTCCACATAAATATTGAAAAACCATGGTGACATTCACACATCCCCGTCCCAAGGCCTACTTTTACTGGAAATAATCTCCCGAACCTCGAATAAATGCACTCAAACCTGACCTCACTATCCCTTGTAAAAACTTTTAATCCAATTCAAAACCTACCTCCTAAATCCATACTTTGCAACTCTGCCACATTGCCCTCCTATCCACCCTATTATATGCTTTTTCCAATCCATAAATGCCACAAAAACCTCTTTACCCTTATCTAAATGCTGTTCACCAATTTGTTTCACTGTAAACACTTTGTCTACACACCCCCTACCCTTCCTAAAGCCTCCTTGTTCACCTGCTATCCTGCTCTCCATCTTACTCTTAATTCTTTCAATAATAACTCTACCATACACTTTACCAGGTATACTCAACAGACTTATTCCCCTATAATTTTTACATTCTTTTGTCCCCTTTGCATTTATACAAAGGAATTATGCATGCTCTCTGCCAATCCCTAGGTACCTTACCCTTTACCTACATTTATTAAATAAAAACGCTAACCACTCCAAAACTATATCCCCACCTGCTTTTAACATTTCTATCTTTATCCCATCAATCCCAGCTGCTTTACCCCCTTTCATTCTACTCACTGCCCCACGCACTCTCCCCACACTCACAACTGGTTCTTCCTCACTCCGATAAGATGTTAATTTTCCTTGACCTACACACGAAATCACAGCTTCCCTATCTTCATCAGTATTTAACAGTTCCTCAAAATATTCCCTCCATCTTCCTGATACGTGTACCTCTAACTCTCCATTTAATAACTCTCCTCTCCTATTTTTAACTAACAAATCCATTCTTTCCCTAGGCTTTCTCAGCTTATTAATCTTAATCCAAAAATTTCCTATTTTCAACAAAATTTGTTGACAACATCTCACCCAATCTCTCATTTGCTCTCTTTTTACATTGCTTCACCACTCTCTTAACCTCTCTTTTTCTTTCTATATACTCATCCCACCTTGCATCACTTCTGCTTTGTAAAAACCTCTCGTATGCTAACTTTTTCTCTCTCACTACTCTTTTTACAGCATCATTCCACCACTCACTGTTCTTCCCACCCACACCCACTTTCCTGTAACCACAAACTTCTGAACACACTAACACTATATTCTTAAACTTACCATATACATCATCTACCCCATTGCCAATACTCTCACTAGCCCATCTGTCCTCCAACAGTTGTTTGCATCTTAACCCTAACTGCCTCCTTCAGTTTATAAACCTTCACTTCTCACTTACTTGCTGCTTCCATTGTCCTTGTATCTGATCTACCTTTTACTCTCACTGTAGGTACAACTAAAAAGTGATCTGATACATCTGTGGCCCCTCTATAAACATGTACATCCTGAAGTCTACCCTACAGTCTTTTATCTACCAATACGTAGTTCAACAAACTGCTGTTATCTCGCCCTACTTCATATCATGTATACTTATTTATCCTCTTTTTCTTAAAATATGTGTTACCTATAACCAAACCCCTTTCTATACAAAGTCCAATCAAATGCTCCCCATTATCATTTAAAACCTGGCACCCTAAACTTACGACCACACCTTCTCTAAATACTGTACTTCTTCTACTTTAGCATTTAGATCCCCTACCACAATTACTCTCTCACTTGGCTTGAAAGTTCCTACACACTCACTTAACATCTCCCAAAATCTCTCTCTCTCTCTCTCATCTCCCAAAATCTCTCTCTCTCTCTCTCTCATCTCCCAAAATCTCTCTCTCTCCTCTACACCCCTCTCTTTTCTAGGTGCATACACACAAATTTAAATGACCCACTTTTCCCCATCCAACTTTATTTTAATCCACATAATTCTTGAATTTATACATTTATATTCCCTCTTCTCTCTCCATAACTGATCATTCAACATTACTGCTACCCCTTCCTCAGCTCTAACTCTCTCAGATACTCATGACTTAAATCCCATTTATTTTCTCCCCACTGCAACTCCCTACCCCCTTCAGCTTTGTTTCACTTAGGGCTAGGACATCCAACATCTTTTCATTCATAACATTAACAATCATTTCTTTCTTATCATCTGCACTACATCCATGCACATTCAAACATCCCAATTTCATAAAGGTTTTCTTTTTTCTTGTTTTTAATTTATACAGGAGAAGGGGTTACTAGCCCATTGCTCTTGGCATTTAGTCGCCTCCTACGATACACATATTTTATGGAGTGTACATGATTTTATTAGTTTACTCCTTATATATCACACCTATTAACTGGATAACAGTGTACTAATGTTGAACTGTACAGCATTTCAGTCTAAATTTTCTTATTGCTTGTGCTATTCCTTTCATTAACCTAATTTCTGTTTTTTGTTTCTTATACAGAGAATTGGAACAAACTTCGCCATTCGTACGAAAAATTCACATAGATGAACTATGGTTGTACAAGAACCCTCCTACTGCTTCCTATGTTCCAACTACTGTCTTGTGGGTGAGTATCCTGATGCAAAACCCATACATTAAACTAGAGAAAACTTACATAACATCATTATCTTTGAGTGTTATTTAGTGCTACTGATTACAAGAAAAATGAGGAGTCAAGAGTTTACATGCATAGTAAATATATGGAAGCAGCATTTAAATGGTCTTCTTAGCAATAGCCCAACTGGTATAGGGAACAGTAGACATTACTGCTCATGGCATCATCAGAGCACGTTATAACCTCCCCCCAACCATCCTCACCATGTGCAGGTGGTTGCCAGTGGGGTAATTTAGTGCAGTCTGTTTAACCTGTTAACTGTCCAAGCGTAATACAAAGATCTTTTATGGCTCACATTGAGCCAGTAAAGCACCTAATCTACTGGAATGCCTGAAAGTCTTGAACATATACTCATTGGAGCAGAAAATAAACATGGATACCCAATTGAACAATTATTTTGCTAACCAAGATGACAAGACAGAGCAAGACAAGTTAACTGATGCAGTAATAATTAACACTCCACTCTTTTCCCAGCAAACTAAACCATTCCAACTGCAAAGATACAACTCTCCAGATCATACGTGACCACCTACAGGCTAATGTACCAGTGTCGGAAATAAAAGAATCACTGTTACTAGGGAACCAAAGTAGAAAAAGTGTTATGCTCAGATTTCACACTCAAGACAGGAAAAAAGATCTAATAATTTCATCTATCAAAGCAAAAAAAGATATACAGGAGGGCCCCACTTATACGGCGGGTTAGGTTCCAGGCTACCGCCGTAAAGCGGAAACCGCCGTAAAGTGGAACACCCTTTTTTTCCACTTACAAATGCATACAAACACTAGATAACAAGTTTACACTAACATATATTATGTTAGCAATAGAACCAGGCATCAAAAAACAATAAAAAAGTACAATACACACATAGTGCACTCATTACTTACCTTAAAATATTTATAGTCTTAATCTAGGGTGAGACAAGTAGTATTTATTGTAAGAAATCAAGTGTGGTATGTATGGTAGTCAGCCAGGCTACCATACCAGGCCACCCCACCCACACATACTATTCTATGATATTTAAGCATCCCAGAGCGATAAAATGTATATACAGTTCACTCATTACTTACCTTAAAATATAGGGTGAGATGAGTAGTATTTATTGTAAAAAATCAAGTGTGGTATGTATGGTAGTCAGCCGGGCTACCATACCAGAGAGAAAGAATGAGTGCATGAGAGAGGACTGGCGCAGAGTTATGTAAACAAACCAGGCGAAGGTAAGTTTTGTAAACAGTGTAACACGTCTGGTTTGTGTACAAGTTACATTGTGTACAGGTTGTCTCTACATTGATACGGTAGAATAAATAAAGAAGAACACTCCCATTCTCATGTAACATCATTTTGAGAAGAAATGATGCTCTGAGTGAAGGCAATGGAAGTAAGTCACTCTGACATTTTTGGGTTATCCTAGGTTCTCTACACATATGTTGTTATGTATTTATGTTATGTATCGTGTTTATTATATAATTTTGAAAAAAATATCACGGATTAATGAAAATGTGTATATTAACGTAATATACAACATTTAATGATACACCGAGCTCAGACAGCGTAAACAAACAAACTGAACAGGTTGTGGACGATCACTCGGTCAGGCGAAATAGACGGTATTAATACGTGTCCAGTTTTAGTTCATTCATGTACATTTGTAAGAGTTTGTGAAACTTTTACCTTATAATATTTTTATTATTATAATAATAATTAAATCACGAAACAAATACTCTTACACTGTGTACAAGTTAGTACAGAATTATAGCTATAAAGTGAAGGCATACGAAAGGAATATTTTTCTACAGTTATCCCTAGTAACAGGTGACGGGCTAGAGAAAACGTAATTCTTTCCGACACTTCTACAAACCGTTTGGTAAACATCTCATATATATTTGTATAAATTTTTATACTGTGGTGCATGTATCATGTTTGTGTGTTACATAATGTGTTTCTTATATAATTTTGAAAAAAATATCATAGATAGATTAAGGGAAATGTCTATATTAACGTAATAATGCGACATTAATGCGCCCAAGAGATTATTATTATTACTATTATTATTATTATTATTATTATTATTATTATTATTATTATTATTATTATTATTGCATCAAGAGTAGAGAGACTCTTAGTGATTTTAATGTGTACCTACATGCCAGCACAGTGTGTAAGTTTATTTAGGTACAGGTGTACACAAGTTTAATTATCAAGTACAATACATATAAAATATACAATAACTTTAAAACACTTGAAATTTTGGAAAGTTTCCAGACATAATAAGGAGACTGTGCTCAGGGAGAATGTAAACAAACTCGGTGGGCCGCTGTGACCGTATTAGAAAGACAGGTGGGGGGAGCCGTATAGTGAGTTTTGGTCATAATTTGAAATGTCCGTATTAGCAGAACGCCGTAAAGCGAAACGCCGTAAAGCGGGGCCCTCCTGTATACATAAATGAGTGTCTTGCAAGAAAACGACAGAACCTCCTGTACAGAGTGAGAAAACTGAAACGTGAGAATAATGATAAAATTCACCAGTGCTTTGTACGTGATGGACAAATTCTAGTAAGAAAAACAAATGTAGGCTGTGTTTACTACATAACAAATGAAAATGAACTAGCAAACTTCCTTCATGATGCAAACATTGCAGAGTCTGACTGACATTAGTGACTAACTTCTTACTACGTTAGTGTATGTTACTATGTAATTATTGAACTAATCCCTGTACTATCACCTCCAAGATAGTATTTTACTACCTCATTATCCTATGTGTCCCACAGAGTTCTTTGTGTGACCCCTTTTGTGTTATTTTCCCAGATTCCCTATCCACAAATTCTTATTTGTTAATAGGATACTTACTCTTTATTAATATCTGTATTACCTTTTTCTTTCCTACTTAAGCCCTGTTTAATTTCTCTAATAATCTTACCACATTTTCCCCTTTTCTCCCTAACTACAAATAACTAACTAGTGTATATTCCTGCTACACTACTGTGCAATACCTTTACCATCCTTAACTAGCTAGTACCAACTACCTCAAAAAATCTTCCTATAGTGATATTAACCCTTTCAGGGTCCGTGTCATTGATCAACGGCTTTACGTTGAGTGTCCAAACCGTAGATCAACGCCAAAATTCTAGCGCCGTCAAATTTAGCGCGAAAACGCTCATAGGCCTACATGTGAGAGAACAGGTCTGCGTGGTGGGTGTGCACCATAAACAAAAAATCTAGGCGCCCACATAGCATTGTGGGAACGCCGGCTCAGTTACCCTTGTTCACCGTGCCTCGTCGCAGGTCAGCTCTCACTCCCTGGAAAATTGGGACTCTCCTCTTCCTATCTGATAGTTCTGACACTGATGGAAGTGGAAATGAAGACGAATTCTACGGCTTTGATCAGTTAGTGACCGAAAAGAATGACCAGGATATCGATAATAGTGCAAAAACCCTGACGATCCTCAACCTTCTACCTCTGGTGTGGGCACTCGTGACTCACGGTCGGTTGTTCCTCATCGCAAGAGAAAACTAATATTTTCGCGTGGCCAGGCCTCTGACTTCAGTAATGATGATGATAGTGACGTGGACTGTGATTTTATTGCGCTCGACGATCAATCGAGTAGTGATAGTGAGGAATCATATTCACCAGTGAAGCGTCGGTATGTTTGCCGCCGCATGCGCTCGGGTAGTGTACCCTATGCTGTGCCCAGGGGACGGAGTACATCCCGGAGTACATCCTGTGGCCCAACACCAGTTTTAGGTAGTGATAGTGAGGATGATGTGGCTACACTTGGCATGGATAGACCACAGGCATCAGTGGATGGTGTTAGTGGTGATGGTAGTGGCACCTCCATGCGTGACTCACTGAGGCCACGCTGGGACCCATGCCGCTGACTCGTCAGTTCAAGGACAAAGCGGAGCGCCAGCCACCAGCCCACCACAACCACAACCACCGCACAACCGCTATGATGTCCAGTATCCACCAGCAAACCGTATGTGGGATTGGCACCAAAATCCCAATTTTGTTCCCAAGCCTCACCACTTTGATGATTCTCAAAGTGGAATTCTACCTACTTGTCCCCTTGGAACCACGGCCAATGAAATGGAATTCTTTGAATTATTCTTTGACCAGCCATTGGTGGAAATTATTGTCAGGGAAAGTAATAAGTATTTTGAGTACACCATGGCAAATATGATCTTATCACCACAGTCAAGACTACACAGGTGGAAAGAGATGACTGATGCAGAAATGTATTTGCTTTTTGCAACAATAATGCTTATGCCTCACGTCTATAAGCATAATATAAAAGCATACTGGTCCACAGATCGGCTAATTTCTACCCCGGTCTTCAGTGAAATCATACCAGTGAACAGGTTTATCTTACTCTTACGTATGTTGCACTTCTCTGACAAAACCAGGCCTGACAGAAGTGACAGGTTATACAAGATTAGAAATGTTTTCATGTATCTCAAACAAAAGTTCAGCATATACTTTTATCCATTCAAGAATCTTGTAATTGACGAGTCTTTGATTTTGTTCAAAGGTAGACTGTCATTCAAGCAGTATATACCGAGCAAGAGGAAACACTTTGGTATAAAACTGTTTGTACTCTGTGATTGTGACAGAGGCCTGGTGTTGGATATTGTTGTATACACGGGTAGTAAAACATTGAAAGATACCAAGATGTTATTGGGTATCTCAGGTGACGTAGTGAAAAACATGATGGCACCTTATCTTGGTAAGGGGCATACATTATATACCGATAACTGGTACACAAGCCCATTACTCAGCGATTTCATGGGAGTGAACAAGACAGATGTGTGTGGCACAGTGCGTTCTAATCGTAAACATATGCCCAGGCTCAACGCAGGTGCTCGTGGTGATGACGTGCAGGTGTTTACTGCAATGACATCATGGCATTACGGTGGCATGACAAACGAGATGTCACATTGTTGACAACCATTCACCGTAA